GCAAACCTGAAGTTTATATTTAAGGTCATCCATAAAAGCCCAGTTATCATATGGTTTGTTATATTTAAACTAGTAGCAGTTTCCCATTTTGTGTTAAGAATAAAACATCTGTTAAAATTCACATATCTACATTGTGTTGTCAGGTTTCATTCAGTGTAAATGTGATTCTCTCCTTTCAATGGAACCTATTTTAAACTATACCAGTAGTGTCAAAAAACAGAAAAGCAACAGTAGACCACAACCAGACCTTGACCCAGTATTCCAGCGTCATGTACTGTATGCAATCCAGGAGCACCACATGTCCTAGATTGCTATCTGTAATTATGAGCAGGACAACAGACACATTGAAGGTTAATGAGAGTGGTGTGAGGGTTCTGTACATACACAGGCAAGGGAAAGAGAGCAGCATGTAACTGATGCTTCCACCATGCCATGTAGACATTTTGAACGCAGGCCAGTAGCTACATGACAGTAAATCTGCCGGGACCAATAGTGTCAGAATAAATGAGTGCTGCATATCATTGATAGGGCGGTGTTGGACCAGATGGGAATAATATCATGAGAGAGCATTGAGTTGATGCAATTTAGAACAAGCTACTGAACACAACTCATCGAGCTGGTGCACATGACGACACTGAAATGAAGGCAACGGAGGAAAACAGATTTTATCTTTTAATGCTGTTAATAAATCATACATTTGACACTTTATTTCTTTCACTGTCAAATGTGTGTTCATCAGAAAGACCAGAAGTTACTTTGTTTTGCTGTAAAACGTTTAAAAATTGCTTTAAGGTTTTTATTCACTTGTGTTCAGATTGTGTATAAATCAGTGCACAAAGCAGCTTGAAATGTGGGAAGCTCTCCCCTCCAACCTATATGTCATGCTATATGTGTCACTTATATAGCTTATACCACTTTGCTTATGACACACGCTTAGAGTTACCACTCACTCACATGCCTCGCATTTGCTCATCCAGATACATCACATCCAGATACAAACATGGCGCTCTTAGTGTGATTATTCTTGGATCATGGTCTCCAGTTATGTTTTCTTTGCTCCACGATGGATGTTTGTCGTATAGGTTTAACTGTCGAGCTTACGGACCGTAAATTCACACCCATACTCATCGCAGGAACCACGGCATAAATCTTAGGTGCGCTTTAGCAGTTATATATACAGTTATGTAACTATGTATTTGTTCTTTTACCATTTACCATCAGGCCTCAAAT